TGCACTGGGGGAGCTTTCCAGGTCCTTTCCATCTCCTGATATTCTGTGATTGTGGCTCTTAAAGATTGCTGGAAAAATGATGCTAAAGCTGCTGCTTGGCTCCCTCATGGGTTTACTTCCATTCTTGCAACGATTTTGGGCCTGGACACAGACACAGTTGGTGCTATTGGTGCAGAACTGGGGCTATCGGGGGCTGTTACCTCCAGTAAGAGACAAAACCGCAGCATTTCAATGTAGAAATGAGATACAACCCCCTTTTCCCAGGCCTGGCTGCCTGCAAGGTGCCAAGGAAGCAGCAAAAGCGTTGATCTATTTGTATATTGTAATGCTATTGAGTGCTCTGGCGAGCCCCAGAGATAACATTGACTTCTCGGGGCTGCCGCAGGCTTGCTGTGACCTCTGCGTGTCCTCCCGCCCAGGTATCGCCATATTCTGCATGCTCTTGACCTACTACATGTGGATCAAAGCCGTCAAAACCGGCTCCATTTACTGGGCGGCCATGTGCGCCCTCGCCTATTTCTACATGGTGAGTGGTCCCCCTCTGAATTTCAGGCTCCGAAAAGAACACGGCGACCTCGTGTTCGGGGAGGGTGAACCTGAGTGAAGGGCTTGGCGTGGAAACGGGTGGATGCTTTATTTGTTTATGTCTGCTTAAGCAAAACTGGGGTGGGGGTGGGGGCGTTTAATGCAGATTTTTGGTAATAGCCTTGAAAACTTTGGGCTTGTGGCTGCGTTTGGAGAGAGCAGATCCCAAAATCCCATGTGTGATCCCGGGAAAACCAAACTCCCCGCCCTCTGCTCATGCCCTGCGGCCCCTTCAGCCCTGAAGTTGGTCATTTTGGGGTGCTCTTCCTCTCTCCAGGTCTCCTCGTGGGGCGGCTACGTCTTCCTGATCAACCTCATCCCCTTGCACGTCCTGGTGCTGATGCTGACCGGCCGCTTCTCCCACAGGATCTACGTGGCCTATTGCACCGTCTACTGCTTGGGCACCATCCTCTCCATGCAGATCTCCTTTGTCGGCTTCCAGGTGGGGACCGGGCTCCATTTTCGGGGCCTAGAGGCTGCTTGGGGGGGTTGTGACGCAGCTCTCTCTGCCTGCAGCCCGTCCTCTCCTCGGAGCACATGGCCGCCCTGGGAGTGTTTGGCTTGTGCCAGATCCACGCCTTCGTCGACTACCTGCGGAGCAAGCTGAACCCGCAGCAGTTCGAGGTCCTTTTCCGGAGCGTCATCTCCCTGGTGGGCTTCGTCCTGCTCACCATCGGCGCCACGCTGATGCTCACGGGTACGGCGGCTTCACCTCCCGAAGAGCACGGCACCTTTCAGGTCCCCGCTCGTGAACCGCTGCGGTTTCGGTGCTGGCGAGCTCCCCTCTGAGGCCGGGACCTGCCCTCACCTGCGCCTTAGCAGGAAAACACTGAGAAAGATGTGGGATCCGGGCGGTGTGAGGTACAGGGAGGACCCTGCTGGGACAATTCCCGAGCTGTGGTGGTGCAGAGATGCTCAAAACACAGATTGGGCGTGGGGAGGAGTCTTTTTAGGGCAAAACTGCCCGTATTTCCTCTCTAAAATGGCCATTTTGAGCGAGAGGGATGTGAGACGAGGCCCAGGGTTGCTCGTCCATGTACCCGTATGAGGACGTATCAGCGTTGCTGCCCACTCCAAATACGGTTGTTTTTCCTCCTCTTCCCTAGGGAAAATCTCCCCGTGGACGGGACGTTTCTACTCCTTGCTGGACCCTTCCTACGCCAAGAACAACATCCCCATCATCGCCTCCGTCTCCGAGCACCAGCCCACCACCTGGTCCTCCTATTACTTCGACCTCCAGCTGCTGGTTTTCATGTTCCCCGGTGAGCCCGACGCTGAGCTTGCGGGGGTTTTACCCCGCTTTGTGTTTCGGGGAGCAGCTCGTGAGGGTGAAGCTGACCCCGTTTCTCTTCCCCCCCGCAGTGGGTCTGTATTACTGCTTCAGCAACCTCTCGGACGCCCGCATCTTCATCATCATGTACGGCGTGACCAGCATGTACTTCTCGGCCGTGATGGTGAGCGCTGCAGTGATCTCTTAACAGAGCTCATTTCATCTTCTCAACTGCTTGGCCGTGGTCCTTCCGCCCTGAGGTGGTTGAAGCATTCACGAGGCTTTTCTCAAGCTGGTTCACTCGCCCCTGCGTGCAGTGAGGGCACAGATCACAGAATGGCTCGGTTGGAAAAGCCCTCTGAGATCATCACGTCCAACCGCTCCTGTCTACCCCCTAAACCATATCCCTAAGTACCTCATCTACCCGCTCTTTAAACACATCCAGGGATGGTGACTCCACCACCTCCCTGGGCAGCCTGTGCCAGCTTCTGACGACCCTCTCAGTAAAGAACTTCCTCCTTATCTCTGACCTGAACCTCCCTTGGCACAGCTTGGTGCCGTTTCCCCTTGTTCTATCCCCCATCACCTTGCCACTGCTGGCCACCCCAGGGGCTCGGTTCCTGGGCTCCCGTAGCCCAGTTGCAAACCCAGACGACTTCTCCAGGTATGGGAGCGGGAACCGGTGATAAATGGAGGCTTACGAGCCCGTTTTGCTGTAGCCCTCAACACAGGTTGATTCCTCCCAAATCCTCAGCTCCACCTCACATTGCCCAGGGGTGTTAAATTGAGGTTGAATCTGCACCTTGGCCAATTTTGAGGCTTTCAGAAACCCTCAGGGGGTTCTGAGGTGGTGCCAGCTCCAGCCTGCACCCACTGCATCAGCCACGGGTTTGTCTCGAGGCTGATGTTCCTCCTGAATTGTGGTGCTTGATTTCCCTCCTCTCCTGGGTTTGAGGTGTTCAAGTTTAATTTCCCTCTTCTCCCAGGTTTCTGCCCCAATTTCTTCTCCACAAGCCCTGATGCCTCCTCTCTCGCCCCGTAGGTGCGCCTCATGCTCGTGCTGGCCCCGGTGATGTGCATCCTGTCCGGCATCGGCGTTTCGCAGGTGCTGTCCACCTACATGAAGAACCTGGACATCAGCCGGCCAGACAAGAAGAGCAAAAAGCAGCAGGACTCCACCTACCCCATCAAGAACGAGGTGAGCGTGGGGTCAGGTCGGGAAGCTGGAGGTGGGGACGCGCGTGGGAGGCCCCCAGTCCCTTCCCTCCGGCTTTGCTCCCGCAGGTGGCCAGTGGCATGATCCTGGTGATGGCTTTCTTCCTCATCACCTACACCTTCCACTCCACCTGGGTGACCAGCGAGGCCTACTCCTCCCCGTCCATCGTCCTGTCGGCCCGCGGCGGGGACGGCAGCAGGATCATCTTCGACGACTTCAGAGAAGCCTATTACTGGCTGCGGCACAACACGCCGGAGGTAACGGGGTTCGTTAGGGTGCTGGGCACCCTGCGTCGTCCCAGGGGTGATTTGGGTGTTGGGGACCCAGTGTGGGTGACGGCACGTCTGGTTTTGGGGTGCAGGACGCGAAGGTGATGTCCTGGTGGGACTACGGGTACCAGATCACCGCCATGGCCAACCGCACCATCCTGGTGGACAACAACACCTGGAACAACACCCACATCTCCCGTGTCGGGCAGGTAGGTCCTCCCCTCGCCAGCCACCATGCCCTGGGCTTTTGGGGACACCGCGTGATGTGACTGTGATGTGACATCTGCCCCAGGCGATGGCATCGACGGAGGAGAAAGCCTACGAGATCATGAGGGAGCTGGACGTCAGCTACGTGCTGGTGATCTTTGGAGGCCTCACCGGGTACTCTTCTGATGGTGAGACCTTGCTCTGAGCTGCAGCAAACCCCTCCCTGGAGCCCTCGAACCCCTCCCTGGAGCCCTCGGACCCTTCCCTGGAGCCCTCAAACCTCTACCTGAAGCCCTCAACTCCTTGCTCTGTGCCCCTCAGCTCCTCACTCTTTGCCCCCCAACTCAACACTTTGCCCCTCAACTCAAACTCTGCTCTGCTCAACTCAGCTGCTCCGTCTTTGAGCCCTCGAACCCCTCCCTGGAGCCCTCGAACCCCTCCCTGGAGCCTTCAACTCCTTGCTCTTTGCCCCCCAACTCCTCACTCTTTGCCCCCTAATTCAGCTCTTTGCCCTCATCTCAGCACTTTCACCCCAACTCCTTGCTCTTTGCCCCCCAACTCAACCTGACTCCCCGTCCTTGCCCCCCAACTCTTTGCTCTCCACCTTTCAGACATCAACAAGTTCCTGTGGATGGTGCGGATCGGCGGCAGCACGGACACCGGGCGCCACATCAAGGAGCACGACTACTACACCCCCACGGGGGAGTTTCGGGTGGACCGCGAGGGCTCCCCCGTGCTCCTCAACTGCCTCATGTACAAGATGTGCTACTACCGCTTCGGCCAGGTCTACACCGAGGCCAGTGAGTCCCCAAAACCCCGCTCCCTGGGGGGTGACGCCGCTTTTGGGGCACCCCACCGTGCCCCCAAACATCTTTGGGGCGCCGCGTGGCAGCGCTGCCTGTACTTTGCCCTCCCCTAGAGCGACCGCCGGGGGACGACCGGGGGAGG